AAAGGTGGAATCTCCCAGGTGTGGCATGTTGCAGGCATTTCTATGGGTTTGCTTGTGTGATAGTGTACAAGTACTGTATGGCAGTGAAGTTTTAAGGTAAGGTAGCTAGGTGTTCATGGAAGGAGAGGAACCCAAGGTCTACAGTCTATTAAGTAGCAAAGAAGAGAAGCTGGTAATCACTAAACCTGGAAGATAGGTCTAGAGAGGCTAGGCTTGGTGTTCACAGTTTATTCTGAGGCCTTGGAGATATACTAGGTCAGAACATCACATTAGTTGCACCAGGTCTTGGAGAGTGGGAAGGATTTATGAGTTCTGTGATAATGCCTTGTGCATTTTACTGTTGTTAGTGGAATATTAGCTCTGGACAGGACCTCAGAAGTCAGAGTATCCCTCCCTACTCTACTGCTTCATTTAGGACAAATAGTTGCAACTGTGATAGGTGTCTCACTGATTTTCTTAGTCCCTTGGCAGCAGTGTTTGACACTCTATAGGCATACATGTAGTATTTATGAGATGAAACGATTGACTTCAAATGGTGTCAGGGGGTCACAGGACTGGCGTGCTCATGCATAGAGAATTTTAGTATTTTTTTATATCACAGCTTCAGCAGAGTTTTTTTTTAACTAGAATCTGTTCTGACCATGGCCAGGTGCCTTTTCCAGACTGTTTGTCCAGTTAGTTACAAATGTCAACTTGGTATACTCTATAGTCACTTGAGAAAGGAGTTTCTATGGAAGGGTTACTGAGGTCAGATAGGTTTGTGGACATATCTGTGGAGGGTTGTCTTGATTATTGACTATAGCAGGGCCCAGCCCACTATGGGTGGTATCATTCCCTGAAAAGGTATTGCTGGACTATGCTAGGTAAGCATGAACCTATGAGCAAGCCAGCAAGCAGTCTTCCTCTGTGGTTCCTGTTGAAATAAACCCTTTCCTCCCCTAAGCTGCTTTTGAGCAGTGTGCTTTGTCACACCAACAGATGAAAGCAGGACACAATTGTTTGTTCCACAACTGCCCTTATTTTCAGTATCATAGGCAGTTGGGCTTGGTTGGACCTCAGAAGAAATTTATACATCATGTCAGACAAGATTTATCTTCTGTGTCACCTCTAGTGTAACAACAATGGCTATAGGCAGAGCTGTGTGGAGAAAGATAGAGGCTGGTAAGGAAAGAGTGCCTCATGGGTTAGTAATGCCTCATTAATTAGTGATGTTTGTCATGGGTGTAGGAACGCCTAGTGGCAGCATACATGCCAGACATTTGCTATTCCTCATTTCTTCTTCTAAATCCTTTATAGTTAAGACTACTAAAGGATTTGAAAAGCCAAATGAAAACTCGCTACTGTAGAAGTGCATACACACACACTCACACACACACATATACATATATATATATATATATATATATTAGAGTCCATATAGTGGGGGAGGCAATGTCTCAACTAGACATTATGTGCTACCAAATAAAGTTCCCAGTGCCTGGAACAGGTTACATCTTTTTGAGTCATTAGCCAAAGGGGTCCTGTTAGGACGCCCCAAACTCTATAGGCTATTGTCAATGCTATTGGTTACCCTTCATAACTTGGCAGTAAGACGCTATTACTGAAGACACTACATACTTGTGGAATAGAACATGGAGAAACCTAGCTGGTATTCAACTGGAAGCTTCACCCTTATTGGATAGCATTTGTAGTGCTAGAATGTGCAATGTATACCACTGGAAGAGAAAAGTAATCATCAAAAGCACCCAACTGGCCCAACTAAATGAGTTGTAATAATGACCCACCTGCAAGATATGCCCATGGATGGGGTAGTGGTACAAATGATAGGGGAATAACCAACCACTTTTTAAAAAGTATACTTAAGGCCTAGTCCATGAGATGCGTTGTAACCCATACTTGATACTGTTAACATGGCTTTAGGGAATTAGTATTTTCCAAACTCAACAGAGCATAGACGTAAACGAACTCATGGAGACTATGACAGCATGGACAAGATCTGCACAAGCTCAACTCAGACAGAATCCCAGGATGAAGGAGGGGAATTAGGCACAAAGTTCCATCTCTAGCTGAGAAATGGTTTGCAAATGATAGCTTCTGGGAGAAGGAAAATCAGTTTTCTCCAGTGCATCGACCACGCTCCACGTAGGCCCCATTCTCAGGAGCAGTTGGCCAACACAAATCACACTGCATTTTGTCAATTTTTTTAATAAACAGGGAGAAAGTACATGAAGATGGATGGGTAGGAAGGGGGTGTACTGGCTAGTTTTATGTCAACTTGACACAAGCTAGAGGCATCTGAGAGGAAAGAACCACAATTGAGAAAATACCTCTACAAGCCTGTAAGGCAACTTCTTAATTAGGGATTGTGGGGGTGCCAACCCTGGGCTTGTGGTCCTGAGTTCTGTCAAAAAGCAGGCTGAGCCAGCCATAAGGATCAAACCAGTAATCCGCAGTCTTCTATGGCTTCTGCATTAACTTCTGGCTCTGCGAGCCTGCCTTGTTTGAATTCCTGCCCCGATAGTCTTTGATTATGAATGGTGATATGAAGAGTAAGCAAAATAAACCCTTATTTGGCACCTCCACAATCCCTCATTCTCCACCCTCTTTCTGCAGCCCACTTTGGCCCTGAACTCTTAACTCTCTACTGAAGGAGTAGAGAGTGTATGGCAAGAGCCCCTGCCCATTTAGCCATGGATAGAAAGGGCCTCCCCAAGCCCAGCATCAGAGTGTGTCTACGATGGGCAACCCAAGGGCAAAGGGGAACTGAAAGAGTCCAGGAAAATATGCGAAACCGTGCATTAAATAGGCAAAGATTCAGCTTCCCTTTGCTCTGAAGTTCAAGCAGAAAATGGGGGAATGGATATGCTAAATGGATGCAAAGGAAGAAATTCTTCCTGCAGATCCCTGGGTGTGAGACATTCCCCCTAAATGAAGAAAAAGAAGGGAAACAATTTGAACTGGTGTTTCTCAGAGATAGAGGCAGATTGACCTTGACTTTGGTGTTTGAGAGAAAGCAGGCAGGGCCTGGGATGCAGGTGTGCTGGGTCCCTCTTGGTTGGGTTTTTCTTTTGCTTAGCAGGTTTTTGGGGACCAGCTAATCCCAGAGTAGGATCAGCTATGATTCTTAGTGTTAATTGTCAAGTTGGAAGAATCTAGAATCACTTGGGAGAGGGGCTCTGGGTCTGCCTGTGGGAGATTATCTCGATTACATTAGTCATTTTGGGAAGACCTTATCTTAGGAGAACCCTGAGCTGTGTAAACGGAGAGATGGAGCTGAGCACTAGTGTGCATGCATTCATCCTTCTGTTTCCTGATTGCAGTTGCCATGTGACCAGCTGCTTCAAACCCCTTGGCTTCCGGGCCACAATGCACTGTACCCTTGATCTATGTGACCGAATAAGCCTTTTCTCCCTTATTTGCTTCTATCAGAGTATTTTATCATAGTAAGAGAGAAAATAACTAACATCAATTTAGTCTTCACCTATGTCCTTGATGGAAATTCCCCCATCTTTAAGTATATGATTTTTTTTCTCATGGCATGCCTCTACTCCTGGTATCCAAAAAGCTAGTCTTAGTACCAACAGGGCTCAGATACTAAGTGCCCTGAATGTGGCTGCTGCTGTGCAGCGCTGGCATCTGGGTGTTGCTGATAGAAATGTACAGCCTTATTCTCTTTGACTCAGCTGGCATGGTTGGTCATTCCACTCTTCTCCAGTCATTTTCAGGCTGCGGAATTTAGGGTCAAAAATCGCTTCATGCATCTGTATGGAGAAAGCATTCTATATGTCCTACTTCTATGTGTAACTCTGGCTCTCTTCTGTTTTCTTCACTTTATTTTTCATTTGCTTGTTTGGTGTATGTGTGTGTGTGTGTGTGTGTGTGTGTGTGTGTGTGTGTGTGTGTTGTGGAGGTCAGAGACCAATTTTTTTCAATTTTATTTTTTGAGACAGGATCTCTCAATGAACCTGGAGCTCACTGATTAGTCTAGACTTTCTGGCTGGCATGTCCCAGGGGTCCTCTCTGTCTCCCCAGTCCTGGGATTACAGCTATGCACCATCGTGCTTGACTTTTATATGGATACTAGGGATGCAACTTGGGTCCTCATGCTGATGTGGTATGAACTTCATGAACTATCTTTCTTCCTAGTATCCTCCCCAGTGTTGCTCACACCCTGAATTAACAGCCCATCTAGGGTGATTGGCACTCAAAACCTTTACTTCCTTTCAGACTGAGTTTATCCCTCTCCTAGTGGAGTGTGTTTCTTCCATAGTCTTGACAATCACAAAGTGATCTGTGCTTTATCCATGGTCACTTAATTACATTCTTAATACATACAATCCCGAAGACAGTAAGTGAGCAACCTTGTGTCACACTGACGGCTACCGCTGGTGTTGTGTTGAGCTTAATGTTTCTGCTCTGCTCCCCCCAGGCACACAATCCATATGTGGATATGCTAATCCCCAGTGGGGTGGTGTTAACTAAAGAGGTAGTGACTTTAGGGAGTAATCAAGTGGCCTTGCCTTATAAGAAAGATAAGGTTTCTTTTTTTCTTCTCTCTCTTTTTCCCTCAGTCTTTCTCTCCTTTTCTCCTTCCCTCCATCTCTCAGAGAACAGAGCACACTCTGAGGAAAATCGGAGATGGGGGATAGGGGGAACATACTGTGGGAAAAGTCTTCTACAAGCCAGGAAGTGATCTGCCTATATCTTGACTGTGGACCTCCTAGTTTTCTGAACTGCGGGAGAGATAAATGCCTTTGCTTAAACCACCCAGGTGATGACAGCTTGCAATAAGGCAGCTGGTGAGGAGCTGAGTTCTCTGTGCTCCGTCCCAGCCTCCATCTTTCTCGTGAGGTCCTGTGAACAGGGAGGACTGTGTGTTTTCACTGTGCCAGTTCAGGTTTTAGTGATCTTACTCCCGATCAGTCCCGGCACAATGTGGGAGGAGCAATACCTCTGGGCGATGTCTTAAAGCATTGTTTTACCCTTACTTTGGGGTGCAGAGCTGCGGAAAGTGAACCTCATTCTATGTGAACTTGCCGAAGGTGATGGAGTGAACTTGGCCGAGATTCAACATCTTATCCCCGAAAAGGTGGAGAAACATTTTTCTCTGAGAACACCACTGGCAAGAGAGCAGGAGCGGATAGTGGTGCTGTCCAACCGCGAGGTAATTAATATTCCATTAACAAGGCCATTACAACTCCTGAATAGAAGCCGACCTCATCTTAAGGTGGGAAGCATACGCCTAAGTGAGGTACAACAGCTGAATAGGCATACCTGCTGATTTATGTCCATAAAACTTAATTTATTAGCAATGTCTTAATTGAGATGGTACGTACATCCCTGCATTAGCAAAGTCCTCTAAAAGCCACTGACGAGAATAATATGCCCAATAAATGGGATGAGAGGCACCCTTCAGCCTCGGAGGCTATAGACTTGCTAATAAGGCCGGGCCACTCTTTTAATGGAGTGCTGAGTGGGCCCAAGGGTGCTCAGAGGAGTTCCTGGAGAGCCATGTGCGTGCTGCGTCTTCTGGTGGCATTTGGACATGTGACGGTGTTGAGAGACCCAGCATCAAGGGGACAGGGCTGTCCGGTGCACTGGGAAGTGGGGCACGAGAGGTGGGGTGGGAGGAGGCACGAAGGACAGTGAGTTCAATTCGGTTGGATGAAACTGGCTAAATCTATTGCCTTCTCCCTGCCCCGCCCCCTCGATCACGGCTTGAGTATCAACTGCCCTCCACAAGCACAGCTGAACAGTTGGTCTCCAGCTGGTGGCACTGTTTTGGGAGGTTGTGGAGCCTTTGAGAGATGGAGTCCAGATGGCAGAAGTGGGCCCCTGGGGGGCGGGTCTTGAAGTTTATACAATGACTCCGCTTCCTGTTTCTCTGCTTCCTAATCCTGGGAGATGTGTGGATCCTAGCTTTAGGCTCTTGACACCACGAAACCACCCATGATCAGGTCCTTCCCACCATGACTGGCTTACAATTCATGAAACTATGAGTCAAAACAAACCCATCCTTCCTTAAGCTGCTTCTTGTCAGTCGCTGATCTGTGGTCTTTTCTTTCAGAGCTTGGCGGGGGCGGGACACCACAGTTCTCAGTATTTGGGGGTCATTGTGGATGCCAAGAGTTGGACACTCATCCCTCCCACACACACCCACAGGATGCCTGGACTCAGAAGAATGAGAACTGAGTGGAGTCAACAGCCCACGGACTTTAAAGGGAATGTGATTGAGGGTTATAGTATCTGTCTAGATAAATTGAAGATTCAAAATAGAATAGTTATCTATCCAGTAACTTGAGTAGCCAAAGCGTTGTATTGCTCTTCTTGGTGCAGCTTCCTACATGGGAAAGCAAGGTTTTAAAGTATTAATTGGGAGAAATGATTCCAGTGACCATTGTCAAGGACTGATGCCCACAGGATTCCTGTTTCCTTCACAGACACCATTTTCTAAGAAGAATGAATGGAGAGGGTGGCTTGAATGGACGTGTTACTCATGGTGGCAAGCCTTGCCATCAAGCATGCATCTGCTTTGCCTCAGCCATCCTTTACCTAAACAGGCCTCCACTCAGTCCTCATCTGGGAACAGAATGCACTGGAGAACCCACAATGTCAGTTTTATCCAAGATGCTGAATTGGGATTCTGTTGCTATAAGAATCTTCTTTTAATTAGCTAATTAATCGGTAGTACTGGTGGTTAAACCTCGGAAGGGTTTAAGAAAGCACTGCTAAGCAATGCCATTCTGCTTTTAAAATTTTAAATTATACTTTGAGAGAATCTTGCTATTTAGCCCAGTCTGGCCTTGAACTTGAGATCCCTCAGTCTCTGTCTCCCAAACACTGGGATTACAGCATGTGCCACCATGCAAGGCTCCAAAGGAAGTTTGGTTAGCTTGGTTCTGTCCAGCACTGTTCTTTCTAAGCAGTGTAAGGAAAGGAAAGCAAGAAAAGAAGCTGTAGCATCAGGACAAGACTGGTTTGGAGGCACAGTCAGCATCCTGTTCCTGTGTGGTTTGGAGTGAGCATCTGTGAAGTGCACTTTACATGTAATAGAATATACAATTTTAAACGTGCTTTGGATAAACGTTGATTACTTTGGATAAATGTTTACCCCTGTGCAACAATCTCTGTAAGGTCTAGACCATTCCCACCTCCTCGTGGTGTCCTGGTGTCCCTCTGTCACACAGTGCTATGCAGCCACTATTTTGATTTCTACTCCTGTGGAGTATGTGGCCCGTTTAAGGCCATCATACACATGGAACAAAGCAGTACCACCCCCTTTATGTGGCTCCTTTCGTGCAGCATGATTGTTTTGAAGTTTATTCATGTCTCTGAATGTTTGAGTAGTTCATCTTGTGGCATAGTGTCACAGTGACCCTTCCCCGCCATCCACACCTTTTGCATCCTGGATCCAAACCCACTGCAGATCAGAAATATTTAGCAAGGATTGTGTCTGTGCTGAGCTTGCAGGGACTTCTTTTATGTCATTATTCTCTAAAGGATACAGTGTGACAACTGTTCACTTTGTGTTAGGCAGGTATCTAGAGAAGATTTGAAGCTAGAATGAGTAGAGATTACATGCAAATTTCATGACTTTTTTTAAGGGACTGAAGCATTCCTCGACTTTGGAATCAGTGGGGAAGGAGTGTTCTAGACCCTATCTCACTCCCTGTCTATTTGTTAGGAAGGGATGGCTGTACTCTGTTATGCAGACAGCATAACTCATTCATCTTCTCACCTGTGGATGGCCATTTGGACTGTTTCCAGTCACTGGAGCCATTATGAATATATTTATGAATATCTTTTATTAACAGTTACGTGCAAGTCTCTATGTGTGTATCTCTGAAGTGAATTATGTAGAAGGAAAAAAAGGTTACATTTGATACCCTTAAACTATAACCAAATAGAGGCCCTGTCTCTTAGGGAACCTTGAACACCACCTGTTACGTCCACCAGAGAAGGGAAGAAAAGTCTCTTGTCAAATGTGGAGGCTGGGAAGGTAAGGGCGGAGTGAAGGTGTGCTGGGAGGCCATGGGGCACAGTGAAAGCAAAGACTTTAATAACCATTTGCCTGGCACAGGCAGCAGTTTCCTCTCCCTAGACTCGGAGGCGCAGGCAGGTGTAGTCCAGTCCCCTTGGAAGCCAAGTCAGTATCCTTGGATGCAGAAAACAAAAACTTAGAAAACCCCAATGTAACATGAAAAATGAAAGACCCAGAGACAGATACTGGGGTTCAAGCTTCAAGCTGAAGATCAGAGAAACAAAGTAGCCAAGCCACTACCTCTTACCTCTACCTCAGCTCAGACCAAAGGGGCGCTCCTCAGACTGTTCCCGACTTCACTGCTCCTCAGATTCACTCAGACTGCTATGCTCTCCAAAACATGGTTAGAGACTGACTCTCAGACTGAATCCCTCTACCTCTTATACCTCTCAAATCCTGGGTTAAAGGTGTGAGCCCCTATTCACTCTTAGGTAGCCCAGGGTGGTCTTGGACTCACAGGTTCATCTGCCTTTCTCCCGAGTCCTGGGATTAAATGTGTGTACCGCCACCACTTGATCACTATAGTTTGAGGCTGACTTTGCTTTCTGAATCCTCAGTCAAGCTTTAATAAATCATAAATAATATAATCACCATACCCAACAGGCTCTAAGTGTGCAAAGCTGTTTGTTCACTTGGGTAAGTACTCACGAGTGGAATTCCTTGGCTGTGGTAATTAACTGTGTAAGAAAGTACTTTCCAAAGTGACCATACCAGTTTTGGGTTACTGTTTTATATTTTTGAGACAGGGTCTCATGTAGTCCAGGCTTGCCTCAAACTTGGTATGTAGCCAAGGATGAACTTCTGATCTTCCTGCTCCGAATGCCAAGTGCTAGGATTAAGTCTTCCACTACCACACTTAGTTTGTGCAGTTCTGGGTACTGAACCCAGAGCTTCATGCATGCTAGCAAGCGTGTGCTATCCACTGAGCAACATCCCCAACTGGCTATACCATTTTATATCTCATCTGTGGTGTAGAGTTCTGCTTCCTCCACACCTCCTCATCTCATCTTTGTGAATTTTAACTATCCCATTGAGTGTGACGTAGCACCTCCCTATGACTTTAATTTGCTTTGGTGACCAATGCCGTTTAAATCTGTTGTGAGTATGTGTTGGCTTCTGTGTTCCTTCTTTTGTGGAGTGTCCATTCAAATTTGCCCAACTTAAAAACAGAGTGGTCTGTCTAATTATTGAGTCATAAGAGTTCTTTTGTGTATTTGGATACAAATCCTTTTATAGATAGAATCGATGAAAGTATTTTCTCCTAGTATCTGGATTTCTTTTTGGTTTTGGTTCTCTCTTTGTTTTTATTTACTATTACATTTTTTCATTTTAATATTTATTTTATGTATTTGGGTGTTTTGTCTGCATGTTGACTGTGTAGTACATATGAACAGTGTCCATGGAGGCCAGAAGAAGGCATTGAGTCCCCTGGGCCTGGAGTTACAGGTGGTTTTCAGCTGCCATGTAGGTGCTGGGAACTGAACCCAAGTCTTCTGCAAGAGCAACAAGCACTCTTAACCACTGTACCATCTCTCCAGCCCCACTTTTTGGTCTCTTGATTGTATGTTGTAGAGTGTTCTGCCTTGACAAATGATCATTTATCACTTTATAAAACCTAAGTTTTTAAGTCAGTGTACAGTTGTGGGCTCCATTATGGCACTTTCATGCATATGTATCATTATCTTTTGTTCTATTTTGCCCCTCCCGCATGCTCTCCCTCACCCTCTCCGCACCCTCTGATTGGTTCCCTTCCTTCCCATAGTCCCTCCTCTGTTTTCACAGCACGTGCCTTCTATATCTCTTCCTCCTTTCTCTCTGTTTTTTATTGTAAGTAGTGTTTCTTCTTTCTCTGGCAAGGAAATCATTGCCTAGCCCCAAACCACAATCATTTCCTCTTACTGTTTCTTCTCAGGATCTGTGCTGTCAGGCTAGTGTCTATGTGAGCTAGGGATCGCCTTTGGCCGCCAGCTGCTCTAGCTTCATTTGTTTAAAAGTATCCTCACCCTACTGAATTATTCTGGTGCCTCTCTGATTGAAAATCAGTTCTGGTTTCACAGTGTAACGGTTAGCACTCTGGACTCTGAGAAATCAATTGGATACGTTTCTGGACTCTCTAATCTGTT